AGAGCGAAGCCACAAAAGCTGTCTTTGCTGGTGGTTCACAGCTGTTGTTGGGGTTGGTGCTGGAGCTGTGACGTGTGTGGGTTGTGGCAGTGGGGGCAGCAAACAGTGCTGGGAAGTGAGAAGGATTTGCACCCCGCTGCTCTTACAGTCCCAGCTTGCGCGCTCCTGGGACGGTGCGTTCTGTGACGAACATCCACGTTTTTCAGCACTCTTTGTGGGACCCCAAGAAGCAAAGAGGAAGAGGCAGGGAATGAACAGGGAGTGCTGTTTGTGGAACGCAGCTCACGGTTAGGACAGTGCCGGGGGCTGCAGCAGGTCCTCGAGCTCTGGGGTGCAGGGTGGGAGCAGACCCCAGTGCTGCCGTCAGCACGAGCTGTGCTGCGAGTGGAGCTGGGCTCACCGGCTGCTGGCAGGCCGTGTGAAACCCAAGCCCTGTGCCTCCTGCAGCAGCCCGGGGCCGGCCTGGATGCGTGCGCATTGCTGGGGCTGCGGGGCCCCTTCCCGGCGCAGCTGCTGTTGGGATCGGAGGCGGCTCCCAGCCCTGCTGGCAGCCCGACAGCTCTGTCCCCAGTGTGTGGGGGGTGCAGGGGCTGTGTGCGGGGCTCAGCTCCCCCCCAGCGTCAGTGGGGAGGGGTAAAGTAATGGGGGTCATAAGAGGAATGTGTGCTGGTGCCCTGTGGCTTGGAAGGCGGCACGTGTGACCGAGCACATGGTGTTCCTGCTGGGGGAGCTGGCAGTGTCCCTGTGCTCTGCAATGTCCCTGCGGTCCTGCAGTGATGTGCTGGCCTCAGGGGGGAGGAGGGAGCAAGATGCTCTGGGATGGGGCTGAGCACCACTGCAGCACATGCACCAATGCAGCGCCTGCAACGTGGTCTGTGAGGGTGCAGAAAACAACCAGACAAGAGGGCAGGGAGGATGGCACGAGCTGTTTTTGTTGTAAAGCTTCCTGGAGTGTGTTTGCAGATCTGCACGGGATCTGCACCCAGAGGTGCTTGAGGTGTGTGCAATCCGAGTGCGGGGTTTGGGGCTCACCGAAAGGAAGGGAAATCCGCCGTGAGCACCTCTGCGGGCTGTGAGATAGAGTGTGGAAACCTGAATCTTTGACACTTCTGGGGGTGAGGGGAGGGCTGCAGGCCAGCGGCCGCGCCGTATCCATGCGGTACTTGGCTGGGTCTGGAGCAGGGCTGTTGTACACAGATGGAAGAGTAATTAAGAATAATAAAAGGAAAGAGACTTGGATTCGCTACAGTCTCAGCACATTAATTGTGCTTTGGGGCCCAAATCATAACGGAGTCCTGCTAGAGGGAATCCAGAAGAGAAACCAAACGTCTCGCTCTGTCCAAGGCTGACCGTTTAAGAGACCCTTGCCTTTATCTGCTGCCAGGTATTACTTCCAGAGGTTCCAACTTGCCAAAACCGAGCTCTTGTCTGAAATATTTTTAGTGGAGGAAACAAAGCGATGGTGCAGCTCTAAGTGGAGTGGTAGGAAGGCGGAGAGGATGCATTGGGAGTGCAGTGGGACGGGAGTGGGAGTGCTGCTGGAGTTCCCTCCCATCCCCATAGCAGGTCCATGCCCATCCATTGAGGTGTGCCACGGGCTGGTGCTGGGTGGGTCCTGTGCCCGAGGACCAGGGTGAGCAGTGTCAGCCCGCTGAGATCCTGCCTGTGCTCCACTCAGGCTGAGCATCTCTTCTAAATTGACAAGCAATTACATGGTTAATAGTATCAATGTTAAATCCTCATCGCTCAGCAGCCTGAGGCTTAATGCTTCATTAAGGCAAAGGCATCTAATAGCTCTCCAGGCTGGGAGCTGTGCTGTCTTTAAGCCCGAGTAGAAGTGATTTGTCTGGAGGCTGCTTTTGTTCTCCTGGTCCTGCAGGAACTGTGAATCCCCTCAGACCCACAGGGATGTGGGAAGGTGGCACTGGGCACTGCTGTACCCGGCGCTGTCACTGCCTGCACTGCTGGGGTGTGAGATCTGCCTCTTCCCATCCCTGCATCTCCCCAGCTGCGTGCATCACTTTGGGGGTCTGCCCTGTGAGTCACCTGAGGCCTTAGGGCTGCTGCCATCCTACAGCAGCCTCGTGGTGCTGCGGGGATGCAGGGATGTGGTGCACAGGGGGCAGCGGGTCTGACCCTGCCTGGTGGCTCTGCCTCACTTCTGTGTTTGCTGTCACTGGCTGTTTGCAGCATCCCACCCAAACAATAATCTTCTCACTGCACCCGCTGTGCAGTACATATATTTAGCCTTTCTCTCCCATGCGTTGCTTTGTGTTTGGTGATGCCATTTAAAATCTGTGCTGCGCGTTGCTGCCACAGCTCCAAACCCGTCTTAGCAGCTCTTACCAGCAATACCTGGCCATCACCCGTGAGCTTTCATCTCATTGATGGGAAGGTGCTTCCCAGGTTGCACACTGCTCCTGAGCCACTCCCGTGGCTGCTGATATATCCTCAGTGAGAAGCAAGGCATGCACCTCGCCTGCTGGTGCACCTGTGAGCTGCCCTTCTCTCTTTGTTCCAGCTGGATTTTAGGTGCATTGGGCATTTTTCACATGAAATATCCTTATTTCCTTGCTTGCGCTTCTCCAGCAGCCCTGCTAACCTGCATGGGGACTGCCAGGGAACACGGGCACTCACCACTGCATCCCGTGCCCACAGCCCTGCAGCAGCCCCTCGGTCTCCCTTCACTGCTCACATACAGCCTGTCAGAAGCTGTGCTGCTGTGTCACTGGGATGTGGCTGTGCTGCCTGTACTGCCGGCTGTGCTTTGGCTGTGGCCTATTTTGGTACAGCCGGAGCTGAGGGTGCACGTCCTCATTTCAAGCCTGTTTCAAGAGGCTGCACTGCAGACGACAGCCATGGTTTTTGGGAGCGTTTTGCCCTTTTTGCTGCCCCTTTCATGTTCTCTCAAGTAGCTGCTTTTTTTTTTTTTTTTTTTTTTTTTGTGGCTCCCCTTTCAAAGCTACTTTTTCTACTCGTAATTATTATGATCAGGATAAGAAGAGGCTCCTTCAACAAAGTCTTGCATGCTGCTTGGGAGAAAGGACGCTCAGCTGTGTCCTCTTCAGCCCATCCATGTGATTCTCCATCTGGCACTCTTTTATATTGTTTGAACATTTAATATTTTGGTCGTATCTGAAAGCCATGTCTGTGGAGTTATTTTGGAGAAATCGACGTCTCCCGTTGCTGCCACGTGCTCTACCTTTGCAAGATCTCCAGCACTGCAGCCATGCTTTCTTTTGGTCATTTTGCTATTATTAGTTATCACCTCCTAAATAAGACCTCACGGGGTCTGTGGAAGTGGTTGCAGTGCTGTTCCCCAGCCCTGCTGGCTGTACGGGAGCTGTGTGGAGCATGGTGCTGTGATGCTCCAGGCAATAAGACGTGTGGGCAGGCTGCAGTTTGGGCTGGAAGCAGGTGGAAATGAGTTTGTCCCCAGGAGGTGCTGCCCAGGGGATGGTATTGCCCCATTCCAAGATGCAGGACTGGGGTCTGTTGGAGATGGAGCAGCCCCAGATGTGCGTGGAGCAGCCCGTGTCCCCTTTTGGTGCAGTGTGATGCTGGGGGGGGAAGCTGTTCATGGAACATTTTGGTTTATTTCACCCCAAATGCAGTACTTCTGGCCTTGGAGTGCGGAGTTGCTGTCTGTTCTGCAGGAATGTGCTCCCTCAGAGGTCTTTATGGGCTGTTGGAGCTTGGGCCTGAACTTGGCTCAAGACGGGAAGAGTTCATGCAAGCACTGGGAGACATTTCTCTGCTTTCCCCATACCTTTGCATTGAGATTTATGCTGGTGGTGCTCCTGTCAAACTGACCTGTGAGCGTTCAGCTCTGTCCATGGGCTGCTGGCTGCCCAAGAAGCTCTAATGAGCAAAACACTCGCTGAGGTTGGATTGCAGGAAGGTTTTGGACCGAGCAGAGGGCTTGCAGCCCCAGCCCTGGCATGGTCCAAGCTCACGTTGCAAGCTCAGCTGTGTTCCTGAGGGCTCCAGCCCCACAGGGAGATAGCATAAGAGCTCCCACAGCTGTCAGACCTGTCCTGGCCCTGCTGCAAAGCATTACCCATTCCTCATCCTGGTGCTGCACCATGGCTTAAGGTATTCCAGAACTATAGAGATGTAGCATGGAGGGACACGGTCCGTGGGCATGGTGGGATGGGTTGGAGTTTGGTGACCTGAGAGGTCTTTTCCAACCTGAATGACTCCGTGATTCTAAGGCTGCCCGGTGGGTGCTTGACCTGGCTGGTTTGGTGGTTTCCCCTCCTGTGCCCCATCCTGCTGTGGGTACCAGGGGATGCAGCTCGCTGTTTTCCCACAGGAGGGAGGCTTAAAAAATCTGTGCCGGCTAAAGAAAAAAGTTAATGTGAATTTAACTGACTTCTGCCCTGCAATTAAAGCCATTCGAGCCCATTGGGGCTCTGAGTTTACATTCTTTACTGAGGCACAGTGTGTAATTATATATGTATAATTTAAACTGTGCATATGCATGTGTTCCTATTATACACCAAGGAGCAAAGGAAATTATCCAGGAATTAAAGGGGGAGGCGGGCGCAGGCACTGAGAATGGCTCACTTGTGTGGATGTGGTGGCAGGGGGAAGCTGGAGGGCTCACATCCTCACTGCTGTGAGCATCTCTGGGCCAGGCGTGCCATGTGCTGGCTGCTGGCAGCCACAAGTGAGGAATAACCCTTCACGTTCTTGTGCTGCACCTGGTGGGCACTGTGCTGCAATCAGAGGAACCTGGAGCTGCAGAGAGTGCTCTGCATGGCTCCTGATGGGTAAATACGTGGGCAGTGTTCATGCTGCTTTACAGAAACCACCCTGAGGTGGTTCTGTAGGGTGGGAGATGTGCAGAGTGGTGGACGCATCTTTTTCTCTGCTCCTTAGCATTGTTCTAAGCTGGCCCAAGGGGACTAGGCACAGACAGGAGAGCTAAATAAAGCCAGCTTGTCAGCACTCTGTGTTCCTCACAGCTCTGTAACCCCCGCCTTTCACCCTTACAGCCACCTCTAATGGGACACTGGATGGCCTGGAGAACCGGGAAGGAGGGGTCTGCCAGACGCGCTCCATGAAGATCGTCATGAAAGTGGGGCAGGGTGAGTGCTGGTCTGTGGGCACCCAAGTGCCTGGTGCAGGAGAAGGGCTTCCTCTGGCTGCATTTAGTCTGAGCTAGGCGAGCTGGGGGAGCTGAGGGATGAGGAGCTGCTTTGTTCCTTGCTAAGGCTGTCAGGTTGAATTGGTTCTGTTTCCGTGCAAATAAGTTGCAGCTTGCAGCAGGCTGCCATTCCTGGGGTGCTCATCATCCCTCCACGCCCACAGAGAAGCTGAAAACCCTTCCCATTTCCCTTTCTGCCTGGCCTCCATCGTAGACCTTCAAGTTGACCTCAAATGGCTTTGCTTCCTGATGCAGCTTCCCCCAGCTGTGTGTTATGGCAGCCTGTCTTTTTGGTTGGGAAGCTAAAGCAGGGCCCCAGTCCCAGCATGTGGTTGTTTCTAGATTCTGGGGACAATGACACCGGGCCAGTTGCTGTTGAGAACATGGACAACTTTCAGAGTTGATTCAATGGGCTTCAGAGTCTCTGCCCACAGGGCCTCCCTCCCTGCACTGCCGAGTGCCTCCAGTTTCATCCATGCCACAGGCCTGTGTCAGCCCCACCGTGGATGCAGAGCTCCTGCTGCCTGCTTCTCATTATTTTGTTTTCACATTGGGGCCAATATTTATAACAAACAAAAGAAGCAGTGCTGCAGCCTTGGCAGCCTCCCTTCCTTCGTGGTCCTCCTGCTGCCCTGCAAGGATCGTGCTGCAACCCACGCACAGGGGGTTGGAAAGCATGAAAAGATGTTGGGTGTGGAACAGGGATGGGAAGCACCTTCCCCCAAATCCTGCATCCTTATGCCTCTTCCAGGAGGAGCCCATATGCAGTGGTGTTCCCTGTCCGCATCCCTGTGCCTACGTTCTCTTACCGTTGGGCTTCCACTCTTCTATGTTTAAGCCACAGCAGAGTGGCTGTGTTGGGGTGGCCAGCTGTGCTAAGGTTGTCTTGAGATTTCTTACCCATCACTTCTCCTCTCCTCAGATCCGAATGCGGTGATCCCGGAGCAGCTGACGACGAGTCGGCCCAGCAAGGAGGCAGACAACACCGTGAAGATTGTGACACAGAGCCCACGCCACAAAGTCCCCACGGTGGAGGAGCCTGGCAAGCCAGGTAACTTCTGCAGGAATGTGCTGTGCAGGCTGGAGCTGTTGCCTTCGGGGTGGCTCTGTGCTGAGTTTGGCATGCGTGCTGCAGGATGCTGGGCACGGCGTCCCTGCACCTGCTGCATCCCTGTATCCCCAGCGTCTCCCCAGCATCTCACAGCCCAGCTCTGCACACGGTGGCCCAGTGAGGTGCTGCTGAGCAGAGCTCTCAGGCTGTGCTGGCTCCGGGCTGTGCTGGCAGCAGTGCAGCAGAGAAGTGCTGTTTCAGCACACTTCTCCTCCTCCTCCCTCTGCTGCCCATCTGTTCCTCCACGTACATCTGAGAGGTTTTGGAGGAGTTGAGGTCCTTGGGTTTTTGAGCCGAGCCAGTGTGAAAGCCCTTTGAAGGTGGTTTCCTGAGTTCCTGACCCTGCTGAGAGAAAAGTGAAATCAGATGAAGTAGGGAAAAGTTGCTCTTTTCTTCTCCCGCGGCGCAGCCAGCCAAGCGACCGCCCCTCGGGGGCCGGGGTCAGCAGGAGGTGGGGGTCAGTCATCGGATATTGCAGGGCTCTGGGCACCAGACCCCGAGATCATTACTGTGTGCAGAGCTCCCAGGGTGCACCCTGGTCACGGCCCAGAGCTGAGCCATGCGCCAGGTCTGGCGGGAGGGGTTGGGGTGAGATGTCCCATGTGGGGCTGGGGTGGGAGGGCAGGGAGCCCACCTGCTCACACTGATGCCCATCTCCCTTCCTCACAGGCTCCGTCAACCAGAACGGCCAGGAGACCCAAGGTCCCAGCGACGGGTTCTTGAGCTCCAAGGTCGCCGTTTTTGCCGCCATTGGCGCAGGCTGCGTCATCTTCATCCTCATCATCATCTTCCTCGTCGTCCTCCTGATCAAGATCCGCAAGCGGCACCGGAAGCACACGCAGCAGCGGGCCGCAGCCTTGTCCCTCAGCACCTTGGCCAGCCCCAAATGCAGCGGGAACGCCGGCTCAGAGCCCAGCGACATCATCATCCCCTTACGGACTACAGAGAACAACTACTGCCCGCACTACGAGAAGGTGAGCGGGGACTACGGGCACCCCGTCTACATCGTGCAGGAGATGCCCCCTCAGAGCCCAGCCAACATTTACTACAAGGTGTGAGGAGCAGCCTGGGCACGCCACGCAGGAGCGCCCAGTGGGGCCGGCAGCGGGAGGCAGCGTGCCCGGCCATGGCACGGCACGGCGCGGGAGCACAGGGGTCTGGCGCCTGGCAGCGCCGTGCTCACCCGTGCGCTGCCTCTCCCTCTTTGTATTTAGTTTTGTAGTTCTCAGCTTTTGTAATCCCAAGACTTTGAGGGTGAGCTGCCAGCATCCTCCTCTCCTGCTCCGGACTGTGGTTGCAGCGCGCGCTCTGCCTTCCCGCGCCCGCCTGCACGCCTCCGGCACCCGCGGACTCCCACCTCCCCTTCTGCACTTTGGGATTTCCCCTCGTCGCCTCCACGCCAAGTGCCCGTGCAGGGGCCTGGGAGCTGCGATGGACGCCGAGAGGAGCAGCGAGGAGCCCTGGGAGGAGGAGGATGCTTCGCCCAGGTGCCGAGATGCAGAGAACTGTGCAGGGAGGAAGCTGGCAAACCCGATTTACTACTACTACTATTATTATTATTATAATTATTTTAATTTTTTTGTAACATTTTTATTTTTGTGAATCATGGCGGGACCCCCCGCCCTGGGCACATGCCACAGCCTCCTTCCAGCACGCCGTCCTGCTGGCGCAGGCAGATTCGCCGCTGCCGTTTTAAACTTTTGTGTTCGTAGCTGTTGACTCTTGTTTTAGTCTCTTTATAAAAAGAAAGACAGAAAAAAAAATCACATAAATGATGTCTCAAGCATTCAGCGCGTGGGGGTCCGAGCACTCCTGCCCATGGAGCAGCAGCAATCCTGGGCATTCACAGGGCATCTTCCTGCCCAGGGCTCCGGGCAGTGTGGGGCAGAGGAAGGCTCCATGCAGGTTCCCGTCAGGCTGGGACTGCTGGAAGCAAAATGTGGAGCAGCTGTGGGTGGAGGGAGGGCAGGGCTGACAGCACGTCCCTTGTCACCGCTCCCATCCCAGAGCTGGGGCTGCAGGTGGCTGGCCCGGGGTGCAGCCCTGCAGCACTTCTCCTTGGAAAGGAAAACTGGAAAACAATCATACAGGACATTGCCAGGAGCAAGCTGATGTCTGGGTCACCATCCATCCATCCTTCCATCCATCCTTCCATTCGTCCACCCAGGCAGGGCTGCTCGCCCTCGAGGAGCTTCACCTCCTCCTTGTCACCTCAGCCTCATCGTGCCCTGGCTCGTGTTTGCAGGGGAGGTACTGCAGTGCCACAGTGCTCAGTGCTCCACATGCAGCCATCCCGCAGCCACTGATGCAGTTTCTCAAAGCCCAGCACCCCTGGGCGCTCACCCAGCCCCTCCATCACACCGCACTGTGCCACTGCCTGGCCCATCTCATGCCTGGAAGTGGAAGGGCTGAGCTTTGGGCTGTCCTGGTGGGACGCTCCCAGCTCTCTGCCACCCTGGATGCACACTGGGGCCGGTGATGGCAGCCCTGTGCCCTGCTTGTCTCAGCCCTTGCGTTCCTTTTTCCTTTCAGAAGTAGCTGCTTTTGCTCAGGGAGTGAGTGCGGGGCGAGGGGGGGCTGCTGCCTGCCGTGTGCCCCCGGCCCCGCTTCTCGCCCTGCTCTGGGCACGTGCCTGCGGCCCCAAACCAGGCTGCAAAGTGCCCAAAGAGCGAGAGAGCTGCTCTGCCAAAGTGCCTTGATGAGGAGAGGGCCGGGGGTGGCAGGAGGGGGCAGCCCTGCTGTGCCATCGGGGAGGGGCTGGGGCAGGAGTGTGGTCCTGAGCGGAGCGTTCCTTTGTGTTGCTTTGGTTGTGTTGTTTTGAGGTCGGGATGGAGCAGTGTGGGCAACCCCAGCTCCGCTCCCCTCCTCTCTGTGGGCATCCCTTTCTCCTCACCCCCCACAGAACACCTCCAGACCCCCTCAGCCCTTTGCCTTCCCCTACGGGTGTCTATGCAGATGCTGCGCTGTGCCGGCGCTGCCCCACGCTGTGGGCTCTGCTCTCCATCGCGGTAAATTGTGTCTTAAAAAAAAATAATAATTTAAAGCAAAGCCCTCAAATTCCCCCAAAATAATGGTATGGAAGTCCCCAGGGGCTGTGGCAGCAGGGAGGGAGGTGATATATGGAGGGAAGGGCTGGGCAAGGAGCCCCATGCCAAAAGCCAGCGGCCGCGTCCTCGTGGCGGCCACCGAGCAGCTGCATCCCCTTCTGCAGCTCCGTGGTGGCACTGGGGTGTGGGTGGTGATGGGCAGACCTTGTAAATAGGTGTGCAGGGAGTGGGGAGTGGAGCTTTTGGGTCTGGCTGAGCCCCCAGTGCTGTGCCCTGGCACACAGCATCCCTTTCTGCTGCTCGCTGAGAGCGCTGCGCTTGGTTTTGGGTTGTTGGTTTTTTGGTTGTTGTTTTTTTTTTTTTTTTTCTTTTTTTTTCTTTTTTTTCCCGTTGTTGTTTCCTTTTTGTTTCGTTTGGTTCGTGTAAATAGTAGTCTTTTTTGGAAGAAATAATGTAAAGATGTTTTGTATAAACTCTGAATTATTTTCTGGTTGCTTTTTCTTAGAAAAAACAAACAAACAAAAAAAAGAGAACTAAAAAAAAAAAAAAAGGAAAAAAAAAAAAGAAAAATTTAACCATGAGAACGGGTGTAAAACATTGTCATACTGCAATCCACCCTGAGCCCCTGCGGGGGTCCCACAGTGCCCCTCGGGGGGGTGCTGGGTGCTGCTGTGCAGAGTGCTCCCCGTGCCCCACTGCAGGAGGGTGCTGAGTGCAGGCTGAGGGCTGGGAAGTGCAACATCAGCAAAAGGAGCATCCCATTCGTCTTTCTTTTTTTTAAAAAACCCATCAAAGCAGATAGAAACCCCCAAACCTCCGTGCAGCATCCAGAGGTCCTGCTCTGCTGTTCCAGCCCTGCAGAGCTGCTGCTGTTGCATGGCCTCTTTTTCCCATTGCCCCTTTTTTTATGGGCAGGGGGCAGCCCAAGGAAGGGGGTGGCACTGTCCCCAGTGCAGATGGTGGCCCTGGGCACCCCAAGTCCCGGCTGCCCCCAGGAGCCCGTGCTTTAAACCCACATGGCATCCGCAAAGGGAAACAAGTGGGCAGCCCCAAACCTGCACCCTGCACAGCAGCACCCCGCACCACGCCCGCATTTCAGAGCTGTGCCCATGCGCACCCCCTGCATAGCATCCTTCATGGGGTCCCTGCAGGCACACGCAGGGATGGGGGGCGATGCCACTGCCCCGTGTACCCCCCCACAACGTGGGCTTTTGTTTCTTCTCGTCATGTCCCTCCTTTCTCTCCCTCTCGCCTTCTCCCGGCTCTCCCTAGCATATCATCGCCATCGGTAACCCGCTCTGTGGCAGCTGAGCACCATGGAGCCGTGATGGAACCTGATATATTGTTAAATAAAAGGTTTTTTTTCCTATGGAAACCTTGGCTGTCTCCCGTGTGCTTTTTTGCTGCCCCAAGGTTGTGCTCTTATCACTCAGCCTGGCTCCAAAGGGCTGGGACAGCGCAGCATGGCATTAGCCAGGTGCTGTTCATGTGTGGGGTGAGTGCTAAAGCAGGGATTTTGGTGCCGTTTTGGTGCCGTTTTGGTGCTGTGTGTGCTGTTCCATGGGGCAGCTCTGCACCCAGGGATGGGGATGGGGTCAGGGTCTGCTCCCCAAGGAGGAGTGCTCATGCCTCCTGGTGATGTATTTTACCCATTCCTCCTTGCATCTTCATTTAATAAGTTACTAAAAAGTTGTTTTAGGAAATGGGATGGCAGTAAATCCTTAACAGGTGGGGCTTTAACCGGCTCCAAAATGGGCTCCACCATGGCCGTAGCTCCAGCTCTTTATAAGCTGCTGTAATGTGGCACTTGGCATGCCATGGAGCGTGGTGTGAAGGGTGGCTGCTGTGGCTGTGGGATATGGGATGTCAGGTGGGAGTGCAGTATGGAGGAGGTAAAGTGTATGCTGTCCATGAGCCGCCTCCATGGGAAACCCAGAGAGCCCAGGGCAGGAGCAGGGCTGGTGCTCCCCTGTTTGCTCAACAGCTTCTCTGAAAATACATGGCAGAGCTGAGGCTGTGCCTATTGCAGACCTCGTGTGGGCTGCGGGTGCTGAACTGTTCCATACGGTGCTGCTGTGATGGCCGAGGGGATGAGTTGGGTTTGTGGGGTCTCAGGGGAAAAATGAGTTTAGGGCACCAAAAGAGAATGGAGGAGGAACTTCCCCTCAGCAGATGTGCAGAGGGTGTTGGATGAAGTGGGATGGGGAGATCAAAGCAGCAGGTGGGTCTGCAGCACTGTGCCAGCAGTGGGCAGGGGCTGCCTGAGCCTGGGGTCAGGGGGAAAGCGGGCCCTGGGGTGTGACATGTGGGCTCATATGTGGTTTGTTGCTCTCAAATCCCTCTCCTCCGCATGCTTTGATCCCGGTGTGAATTAAATAATGCTTTTAATTTTAAACAGCTTCACAGGGCTCTGATGGCCAAAGGGGAAAACCATGAGCGCCCAGCCTGCTGGGACCTGCCTGTAGCCCAGCACCCAGCAGGGGGGCATTGCTGCAGGACCGGGGCACACAAACAGCACCCAGAGCATGGCATGGAGCTGCCAGCCCCTGGAGTCCCACCCTGCGTGGCCATGGGCACAGAGCAAGGGCAGACCCAACGGTGCATCATCCCATACTGCACGTGGCCGCACCTCCCCCTGCTCACAGCCCCAACCAACACAAGCAGTGGCAACGGGAAGGGCTTTGCTCAGAGAATCCCTGCTCCCAGCTGCAGCACAGCGAGGAGGTGCAGGCTGTGCTCCCCAGGGCCAGCTGGTGCCGGGCGATTGGCAGCATCTCGCCGTGAGCCTGCAGATCTGGAGAACCCATTACAGCTGCTGATGCTTTTGGACATCCATCAGGCCTGGAGAAGTTATTTTAATTATAAAACGTAAAGTAGCTTTCTGTCAAGTTTATTAACTCACCCTTGGCCAGATCCCACCCGATTGGCCGCCAGCTCCATGCACTCCTGCACACCCTGAGCCATGGGCAGAGGCCAGGCAGTGTGGGCACATCTGCAATGCCACCTGCATGCAGCACTTCCTGCTGTGGTGTGAGCCAGGATCTGGGTGGACACGGCAGTGTGCTCAGGGAGAAACCCCTCTGCAGACCCCGCCTGCACAGTGCTGCGGAGCTGCAATCCCTCCTAATAAACCTTGGTCAGGCCAGCTGCCACAGCAAGGACTGGGAGGTTTATCCTTGTTTTCCCTGTAGTATATCTGAAATAACTAACAGGTTCCTCTGCTCAGGGCTATGGCTTTTCCCACACTGCAGCCTCGTGCCGCACACCAGCCCGCCTGCACCTGGCTTCTATGCTCACACCAGGAGGGTCCTGGAAGATCCATTAGGGCCGTGGTATGCAGCAGGTCCCACGGGCTCTGAAATGGGAACAGTAACTGCAGGGCCCCATGGGCTGCTTGTCACAGACCCATTGCAGAGCCCCAGGACAGCAGTAGGGTTATTCCCACAGGACTGGGGTCAGTCTGTGTCTCAGGGCTGGGCACTGCTGTTGGATTGTTCTGCACTGAGCTCTGCACAAAGCTCCGCATGAGGCAGGAGAAGGCTTGTCCCATGGCAGGGCTGCTGCTGGCCCAAAATCCATCTTCCCTGCTGTGTCTGTGTGTCCTGCTGTGGAAGTGGGCACATGGTAAGGAGCTCAGGTGGCAGCTCTGGTGCAGGAGAGGAGCAGCAGAGAGGGGAAACTGTCAGGCTGGAACAAGGGTGAGAGACTAGAAAAGGAGCTGGGAAGTGGAGGAGGGGGAGAGATTCCTTCCAGCGGGGTGAGGCCCAGCAAAGCAGCAGTCTGAGGGCAAATCCAGTAGTTCATCACTGGTGCAAAAAAAAGGAACGAGTGCGAGTATTATTCTGCAGCAAATGTAAATTAATTATGTGCAAGGTTTTAATGTTACTGAAACAAAACACTTTGAGGGGGTCTCCTGGCTGCTGGAGCAGAGCCTGAAGGAAACTGAGAGCTTTTCCTTTTTCTAGTCCTGACTGAGGACGAGAGGTAAACGGGAGATGTCAGCGCTGTGAGCAGGGGGGGATCCTGCCGGTGTGCTCTGCGTGGTGCAGCCACTTGTTGTGCACAAGGACCCGTCCCTGGCGCACAGAGCACTGCGGGGTGGACGTGCCCTGGGGGTTGTGGCCGGGACTGTGCTCCCAGCGCTTCGCCCAGCCCCGTGATGATGCTGTGAGCCACTGCCGCTGTCCCCAGGGTCACCTCGGTCTGTTTGGGTTGGGAAGGGCTGGGGCTTTGGTTTCAGCCGGGCTTTCCCCTTCCCAATTCCTGCAGCCTGGTGTAATTCCCCTGAGCGAGCCCAGCGCCAGGTTCTGGCTGGAAATTGGCTCTGGTTGTGGCTCAGGGGTCATTGAAACGCGGCTGAGCCAGAAGGAAAAGAGAGACGGCGGCTGCAGAGGAAGCGGCTCGGGACGGCTCTGCTCTCCGCTGTGCCACAGCCAACGGGAGCCGGGCCCGGGGCAGAGCAAAGCCCCGTGCCGGGGGATGCTGGAGAAGAGCAGCGCCGGGCGGGTGGCAGAGGGCTGGGGCAGGGCACGGGGAATCGGCCTCACACGGGAGCTGTGGGACGGTGGAAAAGTCTGCCAGAAGAACAGGCGAGCGGCACGTCGGCCGCAGCCAGCGGCACAAAGGCATCTGGCTGCGGGGTTTATTTTCCTTTGCATTAATGAGAGGAAGGAGCCGGGAGGCCCCGCGCTGCGGGCAGGTGCCTCACGGCCGCAGCCTGTGGCGAGATGGGAGCGGGGACGACTGGGCCAACGCGGGTCCCTGCAGGACAGCGGTGCCATTCCTTGCGTGCCCCGATTTGAGGGATGTGACCTCGGGCGGTGCCCGCTCAGCTCGCTCCAGGCAGCAGCACCCAGCGCGGCGCGCAGGTTAGCCGCATCCATCCCTGCTTCGGCTCTAAGTGCAAAAGCAGCCTGGGAGAGCGCCGCGTGGCGAACTTCAGCTTCCTGCTGCTCCACGCAATCGAGTGTCGGCCATTAATTATGTGCTTAACAAGCAAGTCTGGGGAGGAACCCTTGATTGAGGGACAGCAGAGCCGTGCTGTAAATGGAGCGGCACGTCCGTCCCGCTCGGATACGGCCGCGCACAGCACCGGGTGCCTCCCACCGCCGCCCCTCGCCCTGCCCGGCCCCCAGCAGCCCCCGCTGCCTGCTGGGCTGTGCTGCTCTTGGAAGCGGCCGCGGGGCTGGAGCGCTCGGCGTAAGGTGATCCTGCGTCAACAAGGCAGCAGCGCCGAACAAAGCTCCTCTGTCTGCGCTGCGGCCGCGCTCCCGTCGGGCGCGCATCGCCCAGCGGGGTCAGCAGGAAATTAATCCCAGCCCGGGGTGAAAGGGTTAATGAATGCTGATTTTACAAACATCGGCGCTATCCTTCCCCAAACTAATAGAGGGGTAATTAGCTCTTAATAAAAGGGAGCCCTTGGCAGAGCTGCTGAGCGGTGCGCAGGGACCACGTAGCCACGATGCGGCAGAGGGCTGGGGACCCTCCTGCACCTGAGTGCAATGGAATGGCTCCCCGGGAGCAGAGCCCAGGCTCCCTGGCCCCGAGACCTTTCCTGCCTTGCTGGAGTGCTCCGACCGTGCCCCAGCAACCTAGGGGCATGCGTGCAATGCTGGCTGTGTGCACAGCAAATCCCAGCGTGATCGGTGTGAATGGGAGAGAAAGGGCCTTTCAGGGAGTGCAGCCATGCACGCTGCTCCTCCGGAGAGGGCAGGGAGGAGGCTGCTGGCTGTGCCACTCTGCGCCATAGCTGCATGCCCGGGGGCATCGTGTTAGCACATGGGGTGCAAAAGCTGCAGAGCGATGGGAGATGGAGGTCTGTGAATTGCAGACAGTGTGACCAGCAGGATGCCCTGCAGCACCCTGAGGGCTGGGAGATGGCTGAGCAGCCAGCGGGGCACGTTCCTGTTCCCCAAAGAGCTGGGGGAACATTTCTGATGGATGCTTCGCTCGACAGAAGTATGCAGCTTTGGACCGGGCTGAACTATTCATACATTCTGGATTCGTGGCCAAGAGAGTGGATTTTCAAAACTACAGAAATGTCTCGCTTTGACATTTTTTAAATACAATATTTTGGCTTTGCCTTTGGAGACAAAGCACGGAGATCAGGTTAAGCTGCGCAGAACGTTTTCTTAAAGATAACTCTCTTCCCTAAATAAACTTTTCCTTGGCTGCACAGCGCGCGTGTTTGTTTGTTTATCCTTCTGGAGACAAAGACATTCCCTTCTGCAACGTTCCTCCTTTGCTCCGGGCCTACTCAGATTGATTCCTTTTCTATATTATTATTATTATTTGGTTCTTGGATGGAAAATCAGTTATTTTCACGGTTATCACAGCCATCAGCTTTTCTCCCACCTTCCTGCCATGGTTGTCATC